ACTAGAATAATGTTGCTACGTGATATTTTTGATGTTCATTTAGAGATTAGTACTAATCGTAGTTCATAGTTGCTAAAAACACCTACTTAATTTGAAAGGTTAAAATGTAATACAGGAGATAATGATGACGAATAATGGCTAGCAGGGAAATCTGGTATTCAGTTTTCATCATATTTGATACTTGTTACCTGCTTTTACCTGACTCTCAGTAAGTGATGTTGTTTTCACCACTACTGGAACCTGGTAATCATTTCTTTAAACTCTAGAGTACTATCAACAAAGCTACTGGGTTGTAATAGTCACCTTTCATTCCACGATTACTGACTGATGTCATAAATTGTATTTTCCCGTAGTTGGCTGGTTTGGTCCAAACTAATATGAGCAACTATGTGGATACCCTAATTGGTTGTAATGATGGGCATTGGTGAGCAACATAGGGATTTCATGGTTTTCAGGACTCATGGGTTAAATGTACCTGGTTAGTGGTAAATTAATGCTATCCCTGCTTGGAAATTTAATGAATCCTTATGACAGTCCATCAGCTGTCTATAGATTTGGTACAAGTCAATCAACAAGGGAAAACTGATAGCCATAACATCAGAAGAGACAATAGTTGTGTATGTAATCCGGTGACAAAACGTGTAAATTAGTGAGTATTCGTTAATGGGAGTGTAAAAGTTGAACACTGTGATAGAGCATAATTCCACACAAAGTAGACTTATTCAGTATACAGCACGTTTTACTGTTCATAATGATATTAAGATAAATGCTGATACAAAATGTTACATCGGTAACCTGCAATCCATTTGATTACCAGCTGATTATTTGATGACAGAATCCCTTTCTCCTGATTGAAAACTGCACAGTTGTTCTTAAAAATTCGGGGGTAGAAAAACTATCTGTATAAAATCTTTTTACTACTAAAAGTAGTAGCCAGTGTTCATAATACGAATACAACAAATTTAATTCAAAGTGAAGTGGAAAGAGTATATGGTAATATTAAAAAGGTTGTTATTACATGAACCAATAATCTAAATTTAACTATAGAAGTATCAAAGAAACTTAACTCGGAAATTTAAAAAATCTTAAGATTAGTGACAATTTTCGACCTTAACAATAAACCCCCGTAGCTCCTATGGATATCATCACATCAAAGTACCTATAACACCTGCTGTTCGCCGTCAAATTCTATTCGTTTCTTGTATATAAGTAAGGTATATATTTCCGAGCCTACTTCATCTCCAGTTAGTTCATAAACCTGAATCTAACTAAAATCAATAGGCACTACCAATAATAGATAGGAAAAACAGAGTTAATTACTTCAATCGAACAACTATAAGAAAATAAACCGGAATAATCTTATCAACTTTTAACTTCACCGGTCCTTGACTGATTCCATGTTTAAGTGTGTGTGTGTGTGTGTGTCACCTACACATTAATCAACAGATAATAGTTGAAAATTAAGCATAATATGATTTTATAATTCACTGATATGATGACTTTGCGAAATTTCCATTAAATATTCAATCAATGCTTGCCCTAACCCTAACCGGTCGCTCATCATTGAGACGAATAATTCCAAGACTATGAGAGGATTTTGACTTAAAGTATGGTTCTAACTGGTAGATTAATTCTCGAATAGAAGAGTGATTGATGCTAAAGAGTTATGGTCACTAGAAGACAAGAATGATCTTTAACTGAGTCATCAACTTGGCACTTACATTGTATTCGAGGTTTCGTCCAAATTCATTTGGCATACTCAAATTTGCATGTCTTTGTACCATCTGAGGTAAGAGTTAGAATCTCTACATTATTAACAGTTCTTCTTTTGCAATACGGTTTGATTTGCTCCAAACTGAGAAATTCGAGAGAATAGACCATAACGGAACATTCACATTTCTCTCATTCACGAAACCTCTTAGTAGAACATCTTTTGACCGAAGTGGCAAAGACACATAAGCAGCAGGTAGGCTCTGGAACCTCTTTGTATTTTCTAAAACTATTACGAGGAAAAGCAGAGGTCACCGCTATCAACTGCTGAAAACTTTTGACAAAGACATAATGTAGGTAGGAAGAAGTTTCTTGAAGGTTGAGAAATCATGGTTTGTAAACAGTCAGTTCATAAAGGAAATTTAGCTTATCACATATTTTAGTGCAGTGGTTAACGAAGTTCAGGTTAGAAGTGTTATTTAGTTGAAATGTAACGCTGGAGATAACAATGACGAATAATGGCTAACAGGGAAATCCAGTATGCACTTTTCATTCTGTTTGAGAGTTGTCACCTGCTTTTGCCTATCTGTCAGCATGTAATATGCAGTTGCTTCTTTGTGTTTATCAGATAGTCAGTTCTTAAAATAATTTTTAGGAAGTCGCCTTACAAAATCTTCACGACACAGTAAACTGATGACTTCCTGACGTTTCGACTGATGATTGAGATCTTCATCATGATTATCACTAACAATGAACCGATAGTATAAACTACTGAGGTTTTTGATGACACAACCGGTAAATATCGGATGTATGTAATTATTGACAGGTTCACAAGAATTCCATGATCCCTTATGAGGACAGCATTTCTCTGGAATGAATGGATAGGGCTAGTAGCACAAGTTTAACAGACTGGGAGAGGAGTCACCGAAGAAGATAAATCTTATTAAATACGTGAGACTAAATTTATTAGTTTAAGATGTCCTGCAAATATGAGGGACTGATTAGTCCCAGTAAGCATGAGTCCTACGTGCATGGATGCCTGTTGGCTGCTTCCGACTAACTAATATCTATTATAGTGCAATGTGATACTAAGTCTCCTAGCCTGGTTGCTACATTGCAAAAATGTTCGACAGAATTCATAAAGCACTTAGGACTAGACAGTTTGAAGTTGATTACTTTCAACTGACCAATCAATGAAGTGGAGACTGTTTGTGTTACAAAATAACATCAGTCAATGGATGAGAGAATGCAAGAGAGCACTGTGCAAACATTTAGTCTTATATTAAGGTAAATGAACAATTATATCACCAGGCTATTCATGTGTTTATTATCTGAGTTGCAAATACCGTCTTTGAGGTAGTAAACAGAGATCAAGCTATCAGGTCTTCATAAGTGAAGATGAATCCATACATAACATTAGTGACTATCAATCTTATCAACAGAATTTCGTATAAATTTTTCATTCACTTGGGTTGTATTCAAAAAAAGGAAGGGATATTGGAAAATATGTATGGCTGAACACCTGTACAATAGTTCAATAGTAACCTAATTTCAACAAAACTTCAATACCTTTAAATTACGTCTAAAAAAGGGTTTGATGTTTTTAGTATTCTACAACCGAGACTTTTAGACCAACCTAGTGAAGCCCAATTTTCAGTTAAGTTTCCATTGGCTAAATCATCATCAATATCAACATAGGACAAGGCATTACTGCGTAACGGTCCGAGTTGCCACGGCTCATATCATTACATCAAGTAAAAAGGCAGTGAGGTGCAAGAACAAGAAGAAAGAAAGGAAGAATGAGAAGATGGTGAGAATCGGCATAATGTTAAGATGAGGATAATGTGTGTATACATCTGTGTCACTGACATCGGTTCTGAGCCATATCACCTAGAGTCTCCAACCACTGGTTCCTCTTTTACCGCCAACCCCAACCACCTAGTCTGCATCACCTCACATGGCTCAAACCAACAGTCAGAGACTTCATTCATTGATGCCACGTTTTAGTGTGGTCACCTCGAGCCTCTTTTCAGTCTGGACCTACTTCGGCCAACATTGTGTGACGAGGTAGTCGGTGACTAGGCATACGTAGTACCATCTCAATCGATGGAGGTTTATAACCTCGTCAACTGATTTACCTCTACTCCCTAAACCTATATGCCCGACTTCTACACTACCCATGTGGTGACACCACAGAATACGGCCTATACTACGAAGGTAACGGTGGTCAAACACTTGAAGCCTTCTCATGTCTTCCACCTTCAATGGCCATTGGCTACAGTATACAATGAAAGTATTTTCAAATGTATGAGATGAAGTGTCGAATGATAAATCAGAAAAACAGTAGTTAAACGAAGAATTCAAGCAAAAATATTACACGCAACTTCAAAGACAAAGTTGCAAGCGGAACGAATAGCGAGGCATTCCAGTATTAGATCAAACTATGGAAATTCATAACATTTCCATTGACCTTCTCTGTTGAGTTACCAACTGAAACAACTTTAACACATTCTCATCACCATTACTGAAGTAAGTACAAAAAAAGATAATTTTTTGGATTTTATAAAAAATTTCTTTAAAACTGGCTGTTTATAAATCAATATGATGCGTTTCTAATACTTGGAAAACGGTCTGAAATGGATTTTTCACAAATGAAAGGGATTGAATTCTATGTGGAGGTTTGCAGAGGTTTGTTAACCGATTTTAAGTTGGAATCCATCATCAACTGACATCATTTGGAGGAACACTGGAAACCTGGGAGCACTGGACAGCTGTTTCATCCTAGTATGGGACTCTTCAGCAGTGTGCACCCATCGCCCCACCAGGGGTCGAACCCATGGCCTTCAGGTTTCGTGACCAGCAAGTTGCCATCGGGCCGATGGGTCAGAATTCAGTGGTGCATATTTTCTACTTCTGTCAGTTCCTCCAACTGATATCAGTCCATGATAAATTCCAACCTGGAAAGGATTTAAGTTCACAATAAATAAAAATAAGATTGTTCTTTCAAGCATAGTATTAATGTTTATTTCGTTTTAATTGAGAACAAAGGAAATGCAAAGAGGTTGACTTCCTGGATTTTTTTTCTTTGAACAACTACGGAAATTACAAAATGATTTCTTTTGATCACAACACTGAACTGTCAGTTCCAATTTTTTCCAATATCAAGTCATCCGATCAGTTCACTTGTAGTCTTCTGATTGGCCAATTTTCATCAACCAATAAGATGACAGCTATACCGTTCGTCATCAATACAACAAACAAATAAATATGAATATAATTATTTGATTGACATGAAAAGAACGAGTTTAGGTGAAATGATTTCAGTGAAATTGAAACCTGAAATCATATGCCCAGTATGCAATCAAATCTTCCAGACTCCTCTACTACTTCCATGTGGTCATTCAGTTTGTTCTGAATGCGTTAACAAACTTCGTAAACCAGTGAACAAATCGAATTCTGTCATTCAAACTCAATATTCAGGAGTACAAGCTACTCAGACAACAGGTGTTGAAGACTCTGTAAGTGAAGCAGATTCTGGTGTAGTTGTTTGTAGCCTGGAATCTAATAATGATCCTCAGTTAACATCATATTCACCACAAAGTACTAACCATGCACAATCTGTTCAAGAGTTATGTCGTTTATGCAGTACTATTCGTAACAGTTTTTCACTGAATAAATCTCATAACTACACACGATTGTCTTCGGATAGTGGAAATATCGATACATCAATAAATGATATATTACCACATAATATAGCTCTGGAAAATTTAATCTCGAGAATAACTAGAGATGAATCAGTTCACCACAATAAAGATATAGGCCCTTCCTTAGGGATTAACAAGAAGGATAACAATAGCTTATCTTCGATAAGATGTCAGTTATGTGAATCACCAAGTGATATTTTGACATTATCATTTTGTGAGCAATGCAATCTTTGGTACTGTAAATCCTGTTTAAATCTTTGGCATCCTTCAACTGGAATGTTGATTAAACATCGTATTATACCCATCAATAATCACAATCGTTTATTGCATTCATCAAGACAATCGAGTACTGAAGTAACTGGACCAGTATGTGTGCATCATCCAGGATATATTTGTAATTTATACTGTATAACATGTTCAATGTTTGTTTGTTTACGATGTTTAAATTCAAATGACAGGAATTACAGTGTGGATCATCATCAACATCAATATAATACAAACAATGTTAGTAATAAATTGAATTCAACCGATCCATACACTTTAAATGCTTCCTTTTCATATGAATGTTTATCACACTCTGGTCATACAGTTTGTTCAACGGATATTTATGCCAGAAGGATAAAAGTAAGCTTTTATCATTCCACTTAAATTACATATTAGAGTGAAATTTCTATAGATTATAATTTTCTGTCGCAGTTAATGAAAGGTGATTAACGCAAATTGTAATCATCAGTAGGAAACCAGCCATTTGCATATTCCCTTATACAGTTTTAACTAACAACTTCTTAGTGTTCTTTGAATTATTGGCAATATGATTATGGCAAAGATAAAGAATAGCGACTCCGAGTCAACAATCTGCTGACCAGCCTTAAACACTCGATTAGAATCAATGGACGTTCATAAGTCTCAACCAGACCTCCAGTTAGTCTCAGTTAACTTCTTTGTGCATAATACCTGAATCATCATTCATAACTCGTAAGCCCAATTAATTGGATCTGTGCCAGTTGTATTGAAGATTTTCAGAGTTAGCCAAGAAATAGAATACAGTAGATGCACGAATCATTTCAAAGAATTACACATATCACGACCAGTTTAACTCAACATCAACTCCCTAGTTGGCACATTTTTACCCAACATGCTTTTCTGAACTATTCTGAGCAAAACACTACCTAGGTTTTAGCATTTAGTACTGCAAATTTTCATCTAAAAGATGTCAGTCTTCGATGAATAACAACTTGAAATATTTCCAAATCTCCACAACCCCCTCAAAATTTAATTGAACTAGTGCTCGTTGGTGACTAGCTTCGAGAAGTATTCCCGAAGTTCCAATGACAAGTCGTGACCGGTGGAGTCAAGCCTGATGGCCGTGAGGACAAATACTCAACGATGACATTGGGTGGCGGTTTGCGCTATATCGTGAGCTAACAGAAGTTGGAAATATGGAGCATTGGATTGTGACCCAGTGGCTCAATGGTAACGCGCTGGTCGCGGAACCTGAAGGTCGCGGGTTCGATCCCTGCTGGTGGGGTCGTGGGTGCGCACTGCTGAGGAGTCCCATACTAGGACGAAACAGCTGTCCAGTGCTCCCAGGTTTCCTTTGTTCCTCCAACTGATGTCAGTCTTCGATGAACAACAACTTAAAAGATATTTCCTTTGCTTTGACTGATATAAGTGACGATTATCTGCTGGCACGGACTGGTTGTTCGTGGTTAGATGGCAAGCCATTCAACTGAGCTCGATATTTGCTAACTTTGGCATGATCATCTTGAGTTGTGGATATTTAGATGAGTCATTTTCAACTGACTTTATAAGAAAGTCATAGTAATATTGTTTACCAAGGTGCAATATTACTTGGTAGACTCAATGGTGACGTAACTGGTCATGAAACGTGTTGTGGATAAAAATTAAGCTCAGATATACCTGAGTCTTGTAATAGGAAAATATGTGCAAGTACAATGATCAGAATACAAAGAAAGGTGATAACACTGTAGGATTCAAAATGATTTAGTGAACAATGAAAGCTAACAGTCGAATTCCTTTTCGTTTTTCAGTAAGAGATACCATCTATTAGTCTTTTGACAAAGTAACCAGCTAGATTTGAACTTCTCTGATGGAGTGCGGATGATAACAGAAGCTGGTGGTAATGACTCAGAGTCGATCTCAAAGTATCACTTATATTTTAACGCTTTTAATGTGTATATCAAATACAGGAAACATAGAAACTAACTACAATCTGTTCAGTGATCAGTAGAAATCGATAGGTCAACAATGGAATTTCCTCTGTAGTTACTATCTATTAAGTCACATCTCATTTACAAAACATTCATAGTAGATTCTTTAATCTGTGGTACAGATATACCAACACACTGTCTTCATGTTAATCGTCCTAGTGAAATTCCACTACCATTTCACTGTTCCTTTTTCCACGATTTCCTACCGCTTCTGACTACTTCCTTCCTTATTTCTTAGTCTTTTATCTTGATACATTCTTTCTTGATCTGCTGATACGAGGTGTGGCAACCTGGACCTTTACGCAATATTCCCACGTCCCGTGTTGATATCATCTATATCTTTGCTCCAGTTTGAATAGATGAAAATCAGGTTTAAATACCAGTGATTAATCAGTAATTGTAAATCTATTAATATTTATTGACATACTTGTTATTCTCCGTTGTTTTGTTGGATTGAATTGTTCGACCTCTATTGGCATATGGGCTCCTATGCGGATGCCTCGATGTTGCCTGAATGTTAATTACAATAATTATCATAATTGTAAACATCCTTTCAAGTAATGTTTCTATATACCCTTCTACTACTTCATTTACTCCTGTAGTAGAGTTTACCAACTAACGCCAGCCCCCAAAATGTAATCATTAACAAGAACAGTTATTGCATTCCCAATGAAATGAACCGGTGAATCGATTGTCATATTAATGGCTTTTCATAGTGATGTACATCGATTTAGTAATCTTTTGACATCTTATCTGTAAATTTTCTCACTATTCACCTCAATATACACACATACTTTTAATCAACCTTTTTATCAATAAAAATAAAGATATCGTGCTGTTTGAGATGAAACACAATGCAACCACCATCTGCTGTATATTCAACATTACCCACCCTTTACTGTTGTATAAGGTGGACGAAGTAAGCAAACGAACCACGAATGTTGAAATCTGCCAAATTAAAGTATATACAGTCGATTTAAAAAGAATTCATCAAAACAGAAGTAAACTAATGGAATGGATTGATAAGTGATTTTGCAATAGTGACGTGGGACAGTAAACTATAAAGCAGTTCGTATTATCATGATACCTCCGAACAGCAAGTATCTAACATAACCTTCTGTGAGCTTTTCGTTTCAGCTGCTTTCAACCAAAGTTAATGGCTGTTATCTCGGTCAATCAATCAATGGATATCGACACAGTACTAGGCATTACTGCTAACAATCCAAGTTGCCACAATCCACATCAGCACATCAAGTAACAAGCCAATAAAATGCAAGATCAAGAAGGAAAGCAAAATCGGTCGGAGGAATTAGAAGTGGAAAGCAGTAAAAAAGAGGAAGGAAGAATGAGAAGATAATGAGAAGACGTATAGCTGTTAAAATGAGGATAGTATGTTCATACATCTGCATCACTGACATCGATTCTGAGCCACATCACTTAGAGTCTGCAACCACTGGTTTCCTTAGTCCCACAACAACAACCGGCTGGTCTGCATCGCTCTACGTGGCCCAAACTAACAGTCAAGAACTTCATGCATTGATGCCATGTTCCAATCTGGTCGCCCCAAGCCTTTTCCCACCCTGAACATACTTCGACCAACATTGTGTGGCGAGGCAGATGGTGACTGTGCACACGTAGCACATGTCCCACACAGCCATCTTAGTCAAGCAAGGTTCACAACCGCATCAACTAACCTTCCTCTCCTCTTTTTAACTGTACATCTGACCTCTGCGTTACTCACACTGTGACACCACAAAACACAGTCTGTGCTACGAAGGCAGTGGTAGTTAAACATCTGAAGCCTTCTCATGTCTTCCACACTTAATCCACATGTCTCACAGCCATTCAGTGGAACAGAGCGAACTGCAGTGTAGTACACTCAACCCTTAATAGACAAACAATCGGATTTCGCGGCGGTACCACAGATGGGGTAAGTTGGCTAAGGACAACCAAGCCCTCTGTATCCGTGCAGAGATTTTGTAGGCCACTGACCAACGCACCAGGACTGATCCGACTTGCCAGGTGAGTGAAGTGTTCAACGCATTCAACCACTTCGCCCAATATTGTTAGTCAGGGTGCCAATGAAAACTAATCCTGGAGTAACAATGTGCATTCGGATGGTGAGAAACTCATCCCAAACATTCTCAGGTTGGTACTCAATGTGTCGAGAAGTCTGTGGATCTTACCAGTGTCTTCACTTGACAGGACTATGTAATCTGTGTACTGTAGGTCTACCGAAATGCTCGTGTGATTAGGTTAATCCGTGTGTAGTCACAGGACGAGAGGGAGATCTTCATAGGAACGTCGATGATAACATTGGATAGCAACAGAAAGAATGGGCATCCCTGACGAATACCACTTGATGTATACAAGTCACCCCATATCTCACCAAAAATTGTAACATGCCCACAGATTTTTGAGTAAAGAACCTTCAGTAGAGTGGTGTGATCACCTATTCGGTACCCCACTTCTCGATTGATGGAGTCGAATACCGCTTTCAGGTAGAGAAATACAGCTATTGTTGGGCGTCGGTAAGCGTGCCTGTGTTTCAGTACCTTGAGAGGTGTGAATATTTGATCGATACACCCACGACCATACCTCACTCCTGCCTGGTTTCCTCAGGCTTGCCATTCCCAAGCTCCACTCAGGCGTCCAATGATTACAGAACCTGGAATCTTAGACACTGTGTTCAGGCTGGTTCCTCTTTGAAATAGGGGAGAATATTTGTAGCTCAGGTGGATGGTCTTGGTTGGATTGTGTTCTCTGAGCTGAAGTTACTGCTGATGATGTCGTCCAGAAGGCCGATGAAAGCTTCACGATCAAGCAACCCAGCTCAGAGGACACAATAAAACCAAGATGATTCTTCTTTGTTTATCACAAGAGGACTTTTCACCTTTCTTGGAGATTAGGATAATCGGTGATTAAGACTAGTCAGAGGGGTATCTCAGTACCATACAGGCTAAGTGACTGATGTTGTATATATATATATATATATATATATATATATATATATATATATATATATATATATATCAGAAGTAAATACACTGGTCCACAAATGAGTGGCAAGAAGACTATGTACATGTTGTTAATATATATACAGTGCCGTGTCTATGAGCTTAGAGAAAAACAAACACTCTGAGACAGTATGTCAAACGACAGAGAAAAATTTGAATTCTTCTGAAATGTAGTCAGCAACCTTGTACATATTTTTGCAGTAAGCAGTAAGGCTTAACAACACTACTACGTAGTTGTCTAAACCTCAGTAGATGAAGTTAACTTCGAATCTATGACCCAATAGTTGGAATTTATCTTTTTAAGCCAATGACCTACAGCTCCTTATTTTTTACTGATAATATCTATATCATAATTATAGGAAAATGCCTCATGCCT